GGCCTTGTATGGAAGGGATTAAAATCGGATTAAAATTGAAAATATAGCCGTTATTGTTGACTTTTATTAGACGAGTGGGACCCAATAACGGCCATATTTTCAATTTTAATTGGCTTTTAATCCCTCCCGAACGGGACCTTAATGTGGCAAATGTACGCTTTAACATTATATATATTTTTATTTAGACTGAGGTATTGACAATGATATCACTAATGATCATCAGTACACCTTCATCAACTATTACAGATGACAATTTCGTCAATAATATTGTCAGAAATTACTGATAGAAAACCGTCAATGTCACCTAGAAAAATTTATTCTCTACAATTTATTTTATTTTTTGTAAGTTATTGACACATAAATAAAGGATCTTATTTTTTTCCTTGTAGTATTATAGTCTAAAAAAAATTTTATTTTGTATCGATGATTTTTTAACTTGTGCTATCAAAAATGTAAATGGAGATACTCTGTCTGAACTAGAAATGCCACCGATCTATCTGCAATAGAGGTAAGAGAGTTGTTCCCTTAGCCCGCAACAAACACATAGAGAGAATATAAACGTAATGCTATGAACAAAATAATGAAAAGCGTACCTGAATAATTATAAGTATAAAGTATATATATAATGCTAGGTGAGATATAATCACATAGTGACCTGCTAGGATTGGATTCCAAATGGTCAAGGACTCCTAGTGTAGTTGAACACGGAAGAGATGGTGGATTGTAAGTCTATAGGGAAGCGGAAATAGGGTCCAACGACACACGATATTTAGGGTCGGGGACCTCGACTACAGATTGGAGAGTGGAGACCAATCCAAGAGGTCGGGGTACTTGACCTACGTAGGCATGGAGGCCAATCGGGGAGCGCGTTGTCTGATAGAGTCGCGAGTGTTTACTAGATCGGGTACTCATGCATCCCCAAGTCGAGTATGAGAGAAATGGTATCTTCACTAACTAAAAAATTGTTTCGGAGTCTTTAATTTTTTTAGTATTATTCATTACCATCATAATTTTTCATAAATAAAAAAGACAAAAACATGTAAATTTCGAAAATAAGGATTGTTGATAAATCGGAACATTAGATGATCGCCTAGCTCACATACTACTGGAACCAGCTCTGTCCATTACTGTTGAGACCTTTTTAATCTCAATTGTTGCCTTATAGCTGGATAGATGGGACTAAGTGATCAATTCAATAGCAGTTACTCGTTTGGTAATTTTATTCAAGATGACAGTCTTCAATTCTAGGATTGTTCATAGGC